TATCTAAATGACCCAGGACAGGGCCAGGCAATTATTTTGGGCAGAGGGCTGCTTACTGAGTTTTGGCAAGCCATCGAGAGCCACATGACAAACAGCCCAGGGCAGATAAATATTAATTTTCTAAATTTTTTAGGGGCCTCGCGGGCCAGATAGAATGGTCATCAACCTTTTGATGACCTACAATTAAGTGTTAGCCATTTGTAACCTCTTGGAACTTGTCCATAATATACTTACCAACCACACACACACACACACACACACACACACTCCCCCAAAGCATAATTTTTAAACTCTAGCTGGCAGTAATTTGATGGAAAGCAAACATAAAAATATGCCTAACTTACTTGTCTGTGTAGCAACGGTCACCATATCAGTTGTGTTTTTCTCTGAAACCAGGCACTTTGTTTGTTTATTCTGCATTTTCTTAACCTGAAAATGGCATTGGAGAAGACAAGGAAATAACCCTTAAAAATACAAAGTGACTACTTACATTCAAGTCCACCAACTGGGGTCAGAATGTTTTACAATTTTATCTCCTAATCTGCATATCAGTGGGAAAAGATAGATAACAGGAAGACAGTCCAAATGGTGGCACTTTTTCTTTCAATTAAAATATAAAGTCACTCATACCTTCAGGTTGAATTGCTGCTAATTACACAAGTAGTTCTGAATAAGCTTTCAGTGCTAGACCTGGTTTCTTTTCAGAGTTGACTCACTATATCTGGGCCTTTTTTTTTTTAAAAAAAAAAAAAAAGTGAAGGAAAAGGGAAGATGAAGCACTGCCCTCCTTTTATTACTCAGTTAATTAAGAGACATGGGGAAAGGTAGTTTGATCAACCTCACCAAAACAGGTAATTATGCTTTATGATAAGGCTCTCTCAACTTACTGCAGTTAATAATAAGATGGAACTTCCACCCAACAGTTACATTAAAAGAACAGCAGCTAATGAAAATTTTTTTAAAGCAAATTAGGCAATCCTAGCCCATAACTTTTATAAGCAGTTTCCTCTTCAAAAAGGATTATGAGCACAGTAAAAAGCTTTGTTCATAGGCTGCCCCTCTCCTAAGCACTGAAATTTGCATCAAGATCTTCACAATGGGGATGATATCAAAGAAGCAAAATACAGTTTTAATTCAATGCTGCTAGTCTCTCAGGCCGCATCTACAATAGCATTATGCTGCCACTTGAGTGTACAGCATTCATAAGAAATCCATTTATGGTAAATTTACCTTGTCTGCTTGCATGGAATTCTGTTTATGTCCATCGGTAATATGATATCCCATATTATGCCAAGTCTTGATAGCTTGTGGAGACTGTAAAACGAGACTCTCTGGAAATAACACTTTGAGATTGGAAAAGGGGAAGGAGAAAAGGTGAAACATTCTGAAAATCATGTAAAAAGCAGTATAAAAGTACTTACTGTCAAAGTTAAATGTATTACCAACTTTTCTTGAACTTCTAATTAACTGCCTTCAATTTACGAGAAAGCTTTGCCCTGAGGGATGAAGTAGAGGACTGAAGTCCACGTACATATTTTTATATATGTAACATACATCATTAAAAAGCTGCTATTTTTAATCAACTCTGACATGCGGTCATACTGGATAATATGGCAGAATTCTCAGTGGTGGCATCAGTGGTTAGATTTGTTTCTGAGTACATCTAAATTAGGTTTAAACTACTATCATCAGATATAAGAATTCTTTCACTTCGAGGCTGATCACATAGAAGATATCAGCACAATAATTGTTGCTCTTGGAAATAGGTTCAGTGGGTTACCTTTTTCACCCAGATAGATGGCTTGTTCAACAGCAAAATGGCATCGACGGCTGGTAACCCTGTTAATGGTGATATCATGAATTAAATTCAAACCTAAAGTTTCCATAAGCTACAACACTCTTATTCTATAAGGATATCTGGTAATTCCTCCAAGTCTGGGGTTTTCAACCTTTTTGGGTCAGTGTACCCCCAGTGGCCAGTTGAGAAGGCAGGAATCCCTCAGCAGCCAGTCAATGAGTGGGGTCCCTGTATCCCCTGCTGTCCTGCTCTGGGCCCTGCTGGTGCTGGCCCTAGGACACAGGTGTGGGCCCTGTTCCCGCACCCGCTCACTCCCAATGTCCCCCCCCCGCCGCAGCCCCATGGTACAGGCTGGGGGGGCGGGGCCTGATGGGCCCTGCTGTTACAGAAGCTCTCCAGTGGTTCCCCTGGGTCCTATTGCCCCTGATTCCTGTCATCTTTGACAGGAACCAAGGACAGATGCATTTAAATTTTCTAAATTGTTTTTAGGGGCCCTGTGGGCCAGACAGAAGGGCTTCGCAGGCCGAATCTGGCCCGCAGGCCGTATTTTGCCCAATCCTGCCCCAGGGGTATGCGTACCCCCAGTTGAAAACCCCTGCTCCAAGTCAATGCCACATTTCAAAGACAAATGCAGCACTAAAAAACCACAAGATTTTCTGCCCCCTGTTCTGATTTTGATGATAATATTTGAAGGATTACTTGATTAATTCTAAGTTTACTAAGGAGAATGAAAGTATTTTTAATAAAAAGTTAAGCTTAATTTCCCAAATAGATTTTAATGCAATTAGGACACAAAAAACCCAGGAGTGGTTAATCTGGCCAATTTCTGACTTCCACTTATGCCAAAATTACTTGCAACTTTGAAAGTCCATTTTGCCACTTCTTGGCTTCCGATGGTGATATATGAATTTGAAAGAGCAGGTATAAAAATATACAACATTCCCTTTCAGTAACATTTGCCAGAAACCACAAAACGCTGTAGGAGGAAAAAAAAAGTTATCAGGCCCTAAGATTTTATTTGCTCCTTCTCCACTAATGTACTTCTAAGAACAAACTGATCACATGAAAAAGCCTAGCATAAGTATGGAAAGCAAAACACAGCTTTTAAGTCTATACAAATACCTGTTGAATGTAAATTCTATGTCTACTGGTTCTGAGTTGTAAGACTGTACAAGTTCTGGGTTAAGTCTAAGAGCAACTTCTTCTTCATGAATCTATTTTTAACAGGAAAACACAAAACAAAATACCAAGTTATTTACTGGCCTTTCCTTGTCCCCCCCCCCTATATTTCAGGATTTGAGGGGACACAGTACTTTCTTTCCATCTGACATTTCCCAGACCATTTGTTCCTAGCAGCTGAAACCAAACTCAATCTCTAACACAATTTCATATTTCTACATATTTTATAATCTGCTTTTAATAGATGAAATCTATTAGTATTAATATTAAGAGAAAAAGCAAAAAGGTGTAAATTCTTCCAAATATACAGCAGAATAAAGTAGAATCAATCATTTCAGAACACAGGTTAAGCAAATCTAGTTTCATAAATAAAAACTAGATACAAAAATCTTAGTTTTCCTCCTGGAATCTTGAAGGCAATGGAATTTTTTTAGCAGAAAAGTTAACTTACCTCTGTAATATAGCTAATATACTCTATTCTATGCTCAGAATATTCTTGACTTTTTAATTTCACTTTGTCACCTATTTAAAGAAATTAAACAAGGTTAAAATATTTAATGTAAAGATACAGGTGCAGTGAAATGCTCATTGTGCTGTATGCAACTGGTAAAAAAGGTGGTAGGTCCTTCGAAGTCCCCATTGTATTAATTAAGTTGCTCCAGGTGTGCAACCAGGAGCAAAATCTGATGCAAAACCTCCATCAGTTACTATACATCAGTTTGGAACCTACCAGAATGAACACAGCAACTCAGAAGTCATGTGGCGACAGAGCAGTACTGAACAGAAACACAGGCTCTAGAGCAGGGGTGGGCAAAATGTGGCCCGCAGGCTGGATGTGGCCTGCCAGGCCATTCTATCCAGCCCACTGGGCCCCTAAAAAATTTAGGAAATGAATAATTATCTGCCCCTGGCTGCCTGTCATGTGGCCCTCGATGGCTTGCCAAAACTCAGTAAGTGGCCCTCCGCCCGAAATAATCCCCGCCCCTGCTCTAGAGGAACCTGTTAGTATGATGCTGTTCACGGGCTTCTCCACACAGCCTATTATGCAGTACTAGGCTAATGTGGCTATGCTGGCTTCTAGAGTTGGCACTTGTGAACTCCTGCTAAGTGCTGCCTTGCACTATACAGAGAATATTGTTCATCTGTTATTCAGCTCCAACATGTTTATTTAGCTTAAAACCATTACCTATATTTAGGAAAGGCCTGCCTTCTGCCAAACCAGGCACCTCCAGGACCAAGTAGCTCCCATTCCTTTTCAAAGTGATTCCATACATGCTGTAGTCTTTGATCTCCATTTCAGCTTGGATCTCCTCAAGCCACAGCACAGCAGAAAACTTTGCTTTATAGTTAGCTAGACTCAACGGCTGCAAATGGAAACATGCTGTGAATTACGGTAACAATCTAAAGGTCACAGAGGATGGGTTTTAAGTGCTACATAAAATACCTTTTAAATACAACTCAAATAGCTTAAAATCTGATTGCTCAAGACAGACTAAGATAAAGATGTCGCACAGTGAGTGGTAACAAAACCACACCTCTAATTCTGAGTCTAGTACCTTAGTCTTTAAGGCATAGTACATTTTTTAAAGAAAGGTACCAGGCAACATGATGGGTTTGGCAAAAGGGCCAGGCTCAATTTGTTATTTCCATACATCTATAAGTTGGGATATTCAAATTACCCTTCACAAGTTGTCAGCAGCCTTTTTAGGCTGAGGGCTGGTGTGACCTACTTTGGGTCACAGGCTGGTGCTAGGTCCCAACTGCTGCTGCTGCTTTTACCCACAGAAGCATAGAGAGCCTGCAGCTGGTGCTTCTCCTTGGGGCAGCAGAAGAGTGCCCGCAGCCATAGCTTCTCAACGTGGAAGCATGAGAAAGTAACTACTACTAAAGCTGCCCCTACCACTGAAGCCTTATGTCCACAGGCTGTAAGTTGGTAACCTCTGCCTTAAGTCAGTTTGGCAACCAAACCCCACTGAGAATTTGGGGAATTTTGACTCCCTTTGATTGCTCTAAAAATTCCTACAATAGTACTTTTACTGTTCTACTTATCTCTCTACAGACAGATTGCTGAATCAAGGTACAGGTCAGAAGTGGATGGGTGCTAAGATCCAGCTGCTGCTGTCATTTGTCTCTGAGGATGCATGGGGAAAGTGCCCACATCTGAAGCCCTGCACTGCCGAATGCCACCAAAGACCCACGTCCACAGGATGTATCCAAAAGTTTTGTTGGCCAGAAGTTGCCAATCCTTAATCCCCATCATTCAATTGTCACCAAGCAGTACTGAGGCAAGACATAGAAAATTAGGGTTGGAAAGGACCTCAGGGGGTCATCTAGTTCAACCCCCTGCTCAAAACAGGACCATCCCTAACTAGATCATCCAAACCAAAGCTTTGTCTAGCCAGGTCTTAAAAACCTAAAAGGATGGAGAGACTCCACAATCTTTCTGGGTAACTTGTTCCAGTGCGTTACTACCCTCCTCATGACAAAGTTCTTCCTCATATCTAATCTAAAGTTCCCTTCCTACAACTTGAGACCCTTGCTCCTTGTTTCGTCACCTGTTACCACTGAGAATAGTTTAGCTCCTTCCTCTTTGGAACCTCCCTTCAGGTAGCTGAAGGCTGCTATTAAACTCCCCCTCAGCTTTCTCTCATCAAGACTAATTAAACAAACCCAGTTCCCTCAGTCTGTCCTTATAAATCATGTGTCCCAGTCCCCTGTCCTTTTTAGCTCCCTGAAGACCTCCCTAAGCTAAGCTGGTCTCTATACTTGCTAGTTTTCCTCCACATCTGGATATGTTGTTCCTGTGCCCTTAAGATTTCTTTGAAATGCAGCCAACTCTTCTGGACTTCTCTCCCTCTCAGACTGGTCTCCCAGGAGATCCTGCCCATCAGTTCCCCAAGTGAGTCAAAGTCTAAATTTTCTGAAAGTCCAGAAAAAAAGTTCATCTCCAACCTCTTTATAATCACCCTTCAAGTATTTAAAGACTTATCAAATGCTCCCTTAGTCTTCTCTTTTCCTGACTAAAATAACTCAAGGGCTCACGCAGGCTCATAGGTGGCCATCAGATCACCCCTAAGTTTATCGGGGTGACCACCAGTATCTTGGGGAATGTTTGTTCACCAGAGTGCCCCAAGGGATGACAAGGTCGAACAGTCATAAACTACTACAAGACCGTTTCAGGCTGTACCTAAGGAAGAATTTCTTTACTGTCTGAGCCTCCAAGGTCTGGAACAGCCTGCCATCAGAGGTGGTTCAAGCACCTACACTGAACACCTTCAAGAACAAATTGGATGCTTATCTTGCTGGGAACTTATGACCCCAGCTGACTTCCTGCCC